AGATAAATGAAAATATATATAGAAAGATAGCTATAAATGAACAGACCTAAGTCTATTTATATATATATATATATATATATATATATATATATATATATATATAGATAGATAGATAGATAGATAGATAGATAGATAGATAGATGTTTTGATAGATAGATAGATAGATAGATAGATAGATAGATATCGTCATGTTAAAAATACAACTTGAAGAATGCCGGAGCGTAAACGGCCGAAATGTTGTAATAAATATGGCGACAAAGATGAGGACAATAATCCGAATAATGTAAATAATGTTCTTCAGAATGTTCATCTACTCTAAACCCGGTGAATTTGTTCAATAAAAAGAAGAAAAACGTGTTTTCCTCGTTGTTTTGCTTATATTTATTTGTCTTGTTGATAAATAAAGTCATTATTTCGTCATTTATAAATACATGAAATAATTCACCTTCAGAAAGGCTATCAGGTATATCAATGGTCGCCAGCAGCTTCCATAAACTTAGTCAGGCATAGATGATAGTAGCCGCTCGTGCTCATCATCGCTTTCATCGCTCCACGCCACTAGCTAATTTCTTAACGAGGCTTGAATGAATTCCTGATCTCTAACAATCTCCTACATTCGAATTTCCAATGCATTTATATCGTAATCTGTTTGTTTGTTTAGCGGCATATCAATACCTTATGGGTCATTTAATACAGAAATTTAATTTTCTTGCGAGCATTACTAAAATCTTTTACAAAAAAATATCTTGCTGTTATATTTTCCTCAGAAATGTATTGCTGGAAATATATTCTTTGTTTCAAAAATACATTGCTGGTATTATTTTTATGCATTGGTGGTATGGGCACCTCGTGATGGTGTAATGGTTGGCAAGCTTGTCTCGCTAGAACATTTACGACTGAGTTGTGAGTTCGATCTTCACTGGGTGCCCTATACGTTCGGCCTTGTGCCACATTTGAGCTATGCTTGGAAAATCACTTTATGCATTGGTGGTATGGGCACCTCGTGATGGTGTAATGATTGGCAAGCTTGTCTCGCTAGAACATTCACGACAGAATTGTGAGTTCGATCTTCACTGGGTGCCCTATATGTTAGGCCTTGTGCCACATTTGAGCTATGCTTGGAAAATCACTTCATGTATTGGTGGTATGGGCACCTCGTGATGGTGTAATGGTTGGCAAGCTTGTCTCGCTAGAACATTTACGACTGAGTTGTGAGTTCGATCCTTCACTGGGTGGTATGGGCCCTCGTATACGTTAGGCCTTTGTGAGTTCACATTTGAGCTATGCTTGGAAAATCACTTTATGCATTGGTGGTATGGGCACCTCGTGATGGTGTAATGGTTGTAAGCTTGTCTCGCTAGAACATTCACGACTGAGTTGTGAGTTCGATCTTCACTGGGTGCCCTATACGTTGGGCCTTGTGCCACATTTGTGCTATGCTTGGAAAATCACTTTATGCATTGGTGGTATGGGCACCTCGTGATGGTGTAATGGTTGGCAAGCTTGTCTCGCTAGAACATTTACGACTGAGTTGTGAGTTCGATCTTCACTGGGTGCCCTATACGTTAGGCCTTGTGCCACATTTGAGCTATGCTTGGAAAATCACTTTATGCATTGGTGGTATGGGCACCTCGTGATGGTGTAATGGTTGGCAAGCTTGTCTCGCTAGAACATTTACGACTGAGTTGTGAGTTCGATCTTCACTGGGTGCCCTATACGTTAGGCCTTGTGCCACATTTGAGCTATGCTTGGAAAATCACTTTATGCATTGGTGGTATGGGCACCTCGTGATGGTGTAATGGTTGGCAAGCTTGTCTCGCTAGAACATTTACGACTGAGTTGTGAGTTCGATCTTCACTGGGTGCCCTATACGTTAGGCCTTGTGCCACATTTGAGCTATGCTTTGAAAATCACTTTATGCATTGGTGGTATGGGCACCTCGTGATGGTGTAATGGTTGGCAAGCTTGTCTCGCTAGAACATTTACGACTGAGTTGTGAGTTCGATCTTCACTGGGTGCCCTATACGTTAGGCCTTGTGCCACATTTGAGCTATGCTTGGAAAATCACTTTATGCATTGGTGGTATGGGCACCTCGTGATGGTGTAATGGTTGGCAAGCTTGTCCCGCTAGACATTCACGACTGAGTTGTGAGTTCGATCTTCACTGGGTGCCCTATACGTTGGGCCTTGTGCCACATTTGAGCTATGCTTGGAAAATCACTTTATGCATTGGTGGTATGGGCACCTCGTGATGGTGTAATGGTTGGCAAGCTTGTCTCGCTAGAACATTTACGACTGAGTTGTGAGTTCGATCTTCACTGGGTGCCCCTATACGTTAGGCCTTGTGCCACATTTGAGCTATGCTTGGAAAATCACTTTATGCATTGGTGGTATGGGCACCTCGTGATGGTGTAATGGTTGGCAAGCTTGTCTCGCTAGAATATTCACGACTGAGTTGTGAGTTCGATCTTCACTGGGTGCCCTATACGTTAGGCCTTGTGCCACATTTGAGCTATGCTTGGGAAAATCACTTTATGTATTGGTGGTATGGGCACCTCGTGATGGTGTAATGGTTGGCAAGTTTGTCCCTAGAGAACATTCACGACTGAGTTGTGAGTTCGATCTTCACTGGGTGCCCTATACGTTAGGCCTTGTGCCACATTTGAGCTATGCTTGGAAAATCACTTTATGCATTGGTGGTATGGGCACCTCGTGATGGTGTAATGGTTGGCAAGCTTGTCCCGCTAGAACATTCACGACTGAGTTGTGAGTTCGATCTTCACTGGGTGCCCTATACGTTAGGCCTTGTGCCACATTTGAGCTATGCTTGGAAAATCACTTTATGCATTGGTGGTATGGGCACCTCGTGATGGTGTAATGGTTGGCAAGCTTGTCTCGCTAGAACATTCACGACTGAATTGTGAGTTCGATCTTCACTTGGGTGCCCTATACGTTAGGCCTTGTGCCACATTTGAGCTATTCTTGGAAAATCTCTTTATGCATTGGTGGTATGGGCACCTCGTGATGGTGTAATGGTTGGCAAGCTTGTCTCGCTAGAACATTCACGACTGAGTTGTGAGTTCGATCTTCACTGGGTGCCCTATACGTTAGGCCTTGTGCCACATTTGAGCTATGCTTGGAAAATCACTTTATGTATTGGTGGTATGGGCACCTCGTGATGGTGTAATGGTTGGCAAGCTTGTCTCACTAGAACATTTACGACTGAGTTGTGAGTTCGATCTTCACTGGGTGCCCTATACGTTAGGCCTTGTGCCACATTTGAGCTATGCTTGGAAAATCACTTTATGTATTGGTGGTATGGGCACCTCGTGATGGTGTAATGGTTGGCAAGCTTGTCTCGCTAGAACATTCACGACTGAGTTGTGAGTTCGATCTTCACTGGGTGCCCTATACGTTAGGCCTTGTGCCACATTTGAGCTATGCTTGGAAAATCACTTTATGCATTGGTGGTATGGGCACCTCGTGATGGTGTAATGGTTGGCAAGCTTGTCTCGCTAGAACATTCACGACTGAGTTGTGAGTTCGATCTTCACTGGGTGCCCTATACGTTAGGCCTTGTGCCACATTTGAGCTATGCTTGGAAAAAATCACTTTATGCATTGGTGGTATGGGCACCTCGTGATGGTGTAATGGTTGGCAAGCTTGTCTCGCTAGAACATTCACGACTGAATTGTGAGTTCGATCTTCACTGGGTGCCCTATACGTTAGGCCTTGTGCCACATTTGAGCTATGCTTGGAAAATCTCTTTATGCATTGGTGGTATGGGCACCTCGTGATGGTGTAATGGTTGGCAAGCTTGTCTCGCTAGAACATTTACGACTGAGTTGTGAGTTCGATCTTCACTGGGTGCCCTATACGTTAGGCCTTGTGCCACATTTGAGCTATGCTTGGAAAATCACTTTATGTATTGGTGGTATGGGCAACTCGTGATGGTGTAATGGTTGGCAAGCTTCTCTCGCTAGAACATTTACGACTGAGTTGTGAGTTCGATCTTCACTGGGTGCCCTATACGTTAGGCCTTGTGCCACATTTGAGCTATGCTTGGAAAATCACTTTATGCATTGGTGGTATGGGCACCTCGTGATGGTGTAATGGTTGGCAAGCTTGTCTCGCTAGAACATTTACGACTGAGTTGTGAGTTCGATCTTCACTGGGTGCCCTATACGTTAGGCCTTGTGCCACATTTGAGCTATGCTTGGAAAATCACTTTATGTATTGGTGGTATGGGCACCTCGTGATGGTGTAATGGTTGGCAAGCTTGTCTCGCTAGAACATTTACGACTGAGTTGTGAGTTCGATCTTCACTGGGTGCCCTATACGTTAGGCCTTGTGCCACATTTGAGCTATGCTTGGAAAATCACTTTATGCATTGGTGGTATGGGCACCTCGTGATGGTGTAATGGTTGGCAAAACGTCTCGCTAGAACATTTACGACTGAGTTGTGAGTTCGATCTTCACTGGGTGCCCTATACGTTAGGCCTTGTGCCACATTTGAGCTATGCTTGGAAAATCACTTTTATGTATTGGTGGTATGGGCACCTCGTGATGGTGTAATGGTTGGCAAGCTTGTCTCGCTAGAACTTTCACGACTGAATTGTGAGTTCGATCTTCACTGGGTGCCCTATACGTTAGGCCTTGTGCCACATTTGAGCTATGCTTGGAAAATCACTTTATGCATTGGTGGTAATATTTTAAATTTACTGTTGGTAATTTTTTTCCTTACTATGAATATGCATTGCTGGTATTTTTAATATAAAATATATATTTTCTACTTTCATATGGTTTTCTTTGAGGATTCACTATTTGTCCATGGCCGAGACCCTATCAGGTGCTACCACTTCAGATCAGGGTGGACCTGAGAACAACAGCAATTAAGAGATAGTTCCACGCTCCTCAATACCTCCCACTCAGAGGCCTTGATGTTGGATGTAGTTTATCGTCATACGCAGGTGTCCATTTTTATAATAAAATCACCTGTAATGCATTTATCTCCCTTTCAGTACCTGACGGGGGCCACAGCTCTCAAGAACACGAGGTATTCCTGCGATCATGGCTCTCCACAATTTCCTGTCCTTCATATCTCAAATTTTCTCTTTTTTTAATCTTTCCTCATACTTCTTCTGCCTTCCATTTACTCAAGTATATCATCGTACTGTTTTCCTCTGTCCTGTGGGTATCAGATTTTCCAAGCATTCTTTCTTCATTATGTACCCTAGACGGAATTAAATCGGTTGTCGCATCCCCCACCGGGTTTGAATCTGGTTTTCGCTTACAGCACATACGAAACGGTTGCCCATTTGAGTACTGTCCGGGCTCGGCATTGCTTAACATTGGTCATCAAATAGAAATCGGTGGTTCAGATTTTCCAAGCCTTCTTTCCTTATTATATGGTCTAGACGGAATTCAATTGGTAGTCGTATGCGTAACCGGGTTTATATCTGGCTTTCGCTTTCAGCACATCGTGTTACCGAGCGGTCTCCCATTTGAGTACTGTCCGGGCTTGGCATTGCTTAACTTTGGTCATCAAACGGAAACTGTGTGTTCAGATTTTCCAAGCATTCTTTCTTCATTATGTGCCCTAGACGGAATTAAATTGGTAGTCGCGTGCGCAACTGGGTATATATCTGGCTTTCGCTTTCAACACATCGTGTTACCAAGCGGTCGCCCATTTGAGTACTGTCCGGGCTTGGCATTGCTTAACTTTGGTCATCAAACAGGAACCGGTGATTCATATTTCCCAAGCCTTCTTTCCTCATTATATACTCTAAACGGAATTAAATTGGTAGTCGTATGCGCAACCGGTTTTGTATGTGATTTTCGCTTACAGCACATAGTGTTACCAAGCGGTCGCCCATTTGAGTATTATCCGGGCTCAGCATTGCTTAACCTTGGTCACCAAACGGGAGCCGGTGGTTCTGCGTTATTTAACCGTGATTTAATGCACTTGCATTAAGCATATAAAGACAGTCTGCTGGAGGTGATGTTTGGATTTAATTCCCGATAATTCTATTACTGAAAATTCCTTTCTTCTTGATTATCAATGGAACGCTATTGTAAACGATCGCCATTTTTTAAGGATGACAGTTGAGACTTGCTTTTTTTGTTATGCATTATCATATCTTTCTCTATGGCATGAAAATGGTTTCACGGTTTGAAAAGAGAATATGGGTTTGGTTTCTGTCATAAGGCAGATTTAATTTATTGAGACATTTTTCTTTCCTTTTTCTTTCAGTTTCTTTGAATTCTTTCTATTCTTTCTTTCTTTCGTCTTTTCTTGTTTTTAGACTTATACTTTCCAGTCTCAATATTCTTTCTTTCTTTCTTTCTTTCTTTCTTTCTTTCTTTGTACATTCTTTTTTTTTCTTTCGATCATTCAGGTTAAGTTTTTTTATTTAAATTATCTTCTTTTTTGTGTTATTTATTCGACTATTTTATTTATATTTCTGTACTTATTTTTTTTTGTTTTACTCGATTATATTTCTGGATCTTTCTTTTCTCTTCTTTCTTTCTCTTTCACTTGCTTTTTTCTCTTTCTTTTTTTTCATCTCACGTTACTTCCTTTTTCTTTACCTTCTCTTTTCATCCATTTTTCCTTTCTTTCTCTTTCTTTTTTTTCTACATCTTTCACTTCATTTTTTCTCCTTCGTTTTTCCATCTTAGGTTTCTTCCTTTTTCATTTTCTTTTTTTCATCCATTTTCCTTTCTTTCACTTTCTTTTTTCTTTCTTTTTCGTTTTCATCTTACATTTTTTCTTTTTTTCTTCTTTTATTTTTCATTTCTTTTTTCATCCATATTCTTTTTTTTCTCTTTCTTTTTCTCTACATCTTTCACTTTCTTTTTTCTCTTTCGTTTTTTCATCTTACGTTACTCCTCTTTTTCTTCCATGTTTCCTTTCTTTTTTTTTTACATCTTTCAGTTTCTTTTTATTTCTTTCCTTCTCATGTTTATTCTTTTTCTTTCTTTTTATATGTTTTGTTTTGTATTCTTTATTTTTCCTTTTTCTTTGTTTTGTATTTTCTTTCTTTCGATTCTTTCTCATCGTTTTATTTTTTTTCCTTTCTGTCTCTTTCTTTTTTCTATTTTCTACTTTTCTTTCATTTACTATATTTTTCTTTTTTCTACCCCCCCACCTCTGTTTTGTTTCCTTCTCATTCTTCAACTGATGTTATTTTTTTATATCTTTTTCGCCGCTTGCTCTCTTTCATTTTTGTTTTTCATTTTGTTCTTCTCTTCTTCTGCCTTTCCTTCTTGACTTCTTTATCTACTTTTAGTCTTTCACGCTGTCGCCTTTTTTTTTCATTTTTTTTTCTTTTCTTTCTTTCTTTCTTTTTTTTTCTTCCTTCCTTCTTTCTTTCTTTTTTCTTTCCTTTTTTCTTTCTTTTTTCTTTCTTTCTTTTCCTTCCTTTTTTTCTTTTCTTCTTTTCTTTCTTTCTTTTTTCTTTCTTTCTTTTCTTTTTCCTTTTTTTTTCCTTCCTTTTTTTTCTTTCTTTCTTTCTTTCTTTCTTCTTTTCCTTCCTTCTTTTTTTTTTCTTTCTTCCTTTTCTTTCTTTCTTTCTTTTTCTTTCTTTCTTTCTTTCTTTCTTTCTTTTTCCGTCCTTCCTCCCTTCCATCTTTCTTTCTTTCTTTCTTTCTTTCTTTCTTCTTTTTTCTTTCTTTCTTTCTTTCCTTTTTTCCTTTTTCTTTTTTTTTTCTTCCTTTTTCTTTCTTTCTTTCTTTTTTCTTTCTTTCTTTTTCCTTCTTTCTTTCTTTCTTTCTTTCGCCCTTCCTTCTTTCTATCTTTCTTTTTTCATCCTTCCTTCTTTCCATCTTTCTTTCTTTCTTTCTTTTTTTTTCTTTCTTTCTTTCTTTTTCCGTCCTTCCTTTCTTCCATCTTTCTTTCTTTCCTTCTTTTTTCTTCCTTCCTTTTTCCATTTTCTTTCTTTCTTTCTTTTTTCTTTTTCTTTTTCTTTTTCTTTCTTTCTTTCTTTCTTTCTTTCTTTCTTTCTTCTTTTCTTTCTTTCTTTTTCCTTCCTTTTCCTTTCTTTCCTTCTTTCTTTCTTTTTTCTTTTTTCTTCCTTTCTTTCTTTCTTTCTTTCTTCTTTCTTTCTTTCTTCTTTCTTTCTTTCTTTTTTTTTCTTTTCTTTTTCTTCCTTTTTTTCATCTTTCTTTCTTTCTTTCTTTCTTTCTTTCCTTTTCCTTCGTTCTTCCTTCTTTCTATGTTCATTTCTTTCTTTCGACTTCTTTCTTTCTTTCTTTTTTCTTTCTTTTTCTTTCTTTCTTTCTTTCTTTTTTCTTTCTTTCTTTTCTTTCTTTCTTCTTTCCTTCTTTTTTCTTTCTTTCTTTCTTTCTTTCTTTCTTTCTGTTCTGTTATCTTTTGTTCTAAACTTGTTTTTCTTTTCGCATTATTTTGTTTCTTTTTTTTTTTCTATAATGAGAATTATTTATGGTAATAAGCAATCACCTTGAAACTAAACAACCTCTATAAAGGAAATGAAAAAAACAAAGAAAGAAAGAAAAAAAAACAATGAATATATAGCTTAAAGATTTCTCCGAACAATTTACAGCAAATATTTCACAAAAAAAGCCAATGATAAAATATAAAAAAAAAAACGAGATTAAAAAAAAAAAGATGGTCACGCAAAACGACGCTGATATGGGTTTTTATCTAAACGCAGTGAAGTGTTAAACGTAGACAAGTAAGCAAAAATCTTCGGGGAAGAAAGTTTTACACACACACACACACACACACACACACACACACACACACATACGCACATTCAAACGCACGGTAGAGTTTCTTCCCCTGATAAGTATCAACAATTTACAAAGCTTCCGGTCACGCATGCGTAATGGAAAACTTTTGCTTGAATGATTTGTGGATGTTAGACACTTATTTCATTGTATTAATTCGTCCTTTTATTTGCTTCTGTATTCGTATTAACGGTATTCTGTTTGATTATACATTCTAAATAACGGTTATATATATATATATATATATATATATATATATATATATATATTATATTTAAAATATGTTTTTTTTCGCTACACAGTTCTAACCATGTTTAAAAAATGGAAGCTAAAAACCCCGAATTTAATTTTGTAATTAAATTAAAGACATTAGTTCCATTTCCTCCTCAAGCGAATTTTGGAGTAACTTATAAAATTACTGGGTTTTAAATACACAGCTAAAATCATAACTCATGTCTCCAAGGTTACAGATGAATCCATTTTACTAGACGAGGTGTGTCTGGGTGTTCAATATGTCTATATTTTAATGTATCAGTTATTGCTACGTTTTGGTAGTGGGTAGGGATGTATTTTTCCATGAAATCTAACATCCGTTAAAAGCGTGTTGTCTGGATGTTTTTGAAAAAATTTATTGTTAACGGCAAAAATTTTTACGGCACTTTTTCCTTCGTATATTTTTAGGGGTGTTTAGGTTAGAATACTTTTTATTTAACTACGATTTGAAATATTTTTACTTTTAATTTTTAATATACTATATTTCTTTTAAGAACAATTAAATGTAATTAGAATCCCTTACAGTTTGTAGAATTATTATCACATCAAGTATATTACGATTTTTAATTTTTTTATATTTAAATATTATTTAAGTTAAAAAATTTTTGAACTTACGGCAAAAAAGCTAATTGATTTCTCTGTTTTAGTAAACTTTATTTATTTATTTATTTAATTACAATTTAAAAAAGTTTAGGTTAGAATTCATTTTAATAAACTACAATTTTAATTACAACTTTAAAATGTTTTCATTGTTAGTTTTTATAGACTATATTTAATTTAACAGAGGTAAATGTATTAGAATTACTTATAGTAAGTAAGATCATTTTTCCACATCAAGTATATGTATATTACGATTTATTAATGCTCTGTAAATTTACATTGAGCACTATTTAAACTATGTAAAAATAAAGATATCTATAAGAACACTGGATTATATATCTTACTGTTCTTTCTTTCTTTATATATATATATATATATATATATATATATATATATATATATTCCCAAAAAATTCGCTTGAAGATGGAACAGAGCTTGGTACTTTAATTCAATTTAATACAAATAATTATATTGAAGTTTTCGGCTCCTGTTTTGAAACCTGTGAACTCTTATGTAGCGTTGGAATCATATTTTTAAATAAATAATTATATATATATATATATATATATATATATATATATATATATATATATATATATATATATATAGATAGATAACTAGACTCGTTTCGAAAATTCAAAACTTCAAACTTTCCCTGACGATCCGTTTAGGTGAAACCTAGGTAGGTTTGTTTGGCTCACTAGGTGTATCTATCTATCTATCTATCTATCTATCTATCTATATATATATATATATATATATATATATATATATATATATAACTACGTTAACATTTGATAATCAAATATATTGTAATTTAAATTTATGTAACTGAAATTCATACTCGGAAACTCCAAGTCGTGCTTACGGTGAGGAATATGTATATTTATTTATATCTACTTACTAGCTCTGTCATATTACAATGATCACTGTTATGCGACTTATATATATATATATATATATATATATATTACCTCATTACATTTTGATAGGAAGAAAACGATCAGTTTTTCCTATTGACAAGCGCGGGAGGTTTTTCGATCAAACTTATATGGACACCTTACTGCTGTTGGACGTATAAATTTATTGTTTCATTGCACTGAAAGAATTCTAAATGAATGATACACCGTGATTCCACTACACACACGTTATTTTACTTCCAGGTTTTGATGTCGATTCTGAAGAGTGATTTATATCTCAGTCGAATGACTTATGTATTCATCATTATCATAGGTTTGTCTACTACAAATATATTACTTCAAATCTGACGCCTAATTTTTTTATTTATTACACAGTGCGTAACATATCTGTCAACCCGCGCCTCCAAGTAATCCAATTAAAAGAAAATTCGTACCCCGGCAGTGCGCGAACCCGTCACCCTTTGTAGAAAAAACAACAGTTTCATACAGTGTGCCTTACTGCTAGGCAACAAAAACGTTGTTGGTTGGTTGTTATATTTTGTGGCATATCAACACCTCTATGGGTTATTTAATGCCGAAATCTAAATATTTTCTGTTGTGTCGTAGATTGGAAAGGTTGGCGCACATATAGAAAGCAAGTGGTTTATTCCGAAGAAAAATATGGCACACGGTTGAGAACACAGGCTAATGTAATAAAGAGTTAATCGATAACTCCTAGGTATTTAGTCGAGACCTCCCCACATGTCAGGATGTAGCACAAGGCCGGTTTTTAACGTTGGGCTTTCCGAGCGCGCACGCGCGGGCAAAAATACCCCGTAGCCACCGTATACACAGGGTCGGGTGGCTGTATACCTCCCCAAACGAGACTCGTAGCCTCATAGCCTCGTCTGAGTTCCTCTCTCCCCGAAGGCAGAGAGACGATAAGTAGAGAGTAACGATTAATCGTTAAAATCTTTGGCTGTAGGCTGCGGCAAAAATTGTCCGTAGTCAGGTAATGGCTCGGAAATACCCACGTTAAAAAGGCCTTGTGCCACATGACGCCCTCGTGGGGGGACGACTAAATATAGTCAGGTAGCTGTCTATCTCCACAGACGAGACTCTGCCCTTCGATATGACTATAGCTAATTGGGATATAATTGATTGATTGAATCGTTTTTACGGCTTATCAACACTTTTCAGCTTATTTAAAACCAGAAAACATTTTTAGATTGTAAGAATTTTTACAAGTTTTAATAATAAACGCATAGCTGGTGAATACACAGCTCGCCTAGGTCTTAGAGTAACACAGCCTCGCATTTTAATATAAGGTTGTTCATAAAAGAAACGTTTTAAATCCTATTTCTTACTTATTGCTAATGGCATCCAGGGTATGACGATAAACTATATCCGCGCCCTGGGTAAAACGATAAACTGCGTCCGACAGCAAGGTCTGTGATCTGAGGTATTGAGGAACATGGAGCCACCTCTTAATTGCTGGTATTCCTAGGTACACTCTGATCCAGGATGATAACAAATTTAGGGTCCCAAATATGGACAAATATTTAACCCGTAAACTGGGGTCAAAACACTATGAAAGTGTAAAAATAGGTTTTAATACCAGCAATATATTTTTGTAAAAAAATCATTACCAGCAATGAATTTTTGAAGGAAAAAATTATTACCGGCAATATTTTTTTTTTTTTTTTTTTTTTTGAGTAAAAAAATATTACCAGCAATAAAAATCATGCCGGCATTAAATAACTCAATGAAGCTGATATACTGTAAAACAAAACAAACCAAAACAAACCTGACCCGGGGTGGTAGCACCTGTCAGGGTCCCAAATATTTAACCCCACAAAAGGGATCAAAACATCATGAAAGTATAAAAATAAGTTTTAAACCATTTAAACCAGTTTTTAAAAGGAAAATTAAAGCAGTACATTTTTTGAAAAAAAAATACCATCAGTACATTTTTGTAAAAATTATTACCAGCCATAAAAAACTTGCCGGCATTAAATAACCCATGGAGGTGTTGATATGGCGTAAAACAAAACAAAACAAAATCTTTGCTTCTGGTTAATTGTGCTAGAAAATCAGTTCCGAAGCAGTGTAAATTTCCCCTAAATCTCTGCTTATCCGTAATTGGCCATGTTTCAGAACTCAACGCGTTAAAAGTCACTTTAAAACAACTCCAAGAAGCAATAATTTCTCTAAATTCAGAAACGAATATGCAATGCGATAGGTCTTGATCTGGCATCTCGTCTACAGTCGCTTTCTCACAGACGTGCCCTTTTTCCACAAGTAATTTCACGGCAACTGTTCCGACCAGCTACTTTCGCTGGTTCCCAGACTGCATGAATTTAAGCGGGCTGCTAGGTTGGCATCATGATTCCATCATTTCACTGTCGAAACGGTTAAATGTAACCGTCTCTTCGACTCAAACAGCTTCTTCTCTCGCACTTCCCACTTTCTGTGGAACTCCCTTCCTCTTGCTTGTTTCCCAGATGATTATAATCTTCAAATATTCAAGTGTAATGTCTATCGACATCTGATACTTTGACCTTGTTCCCCCGTCCTTCTCCGTATCATTTCCTCAAAAAGGCCTCTTTACTCTTGTTCTCAATCCCTTGTAATCCCTTGCGTGCTAGTGGCACTCCTGCCTTGCTTGGAGTGAATTGCTCAAAGAAAAAAAAAATGCTTCGAGGATAAGGAATCAGAAAAAAAGGCTTGAACAGTTCGGAGACATTGAAGTTTCTTGAATTCCCGGAGTGAAAACCTAGTACTGTTCCTTGCATTAGTTACCTTACTCGGACCGTTGTCCTCATCTTCTTTGCCATATTCACAACGTTTCGGCAACGTTGTACGCTCCGGACTTCTTCAGGTGATTGGAATTTCGAACCGAACCCTTTATTTCGTCCACTAG